GCAGCCACGGTGAAGTTGAAGGTAGCAGTTCCATCCTCATCGCCGCCGAGGTACCCTGCGGCCGAAGAGCCACTGCACTGTGAACAATCGACAATGCGGGCACCGTTGGAGAGTGCGGCCGTCTCGCCCTCGATCTCGGATGTGATTGTGCTCTCGGACCAGGTGCCTGCAGCGGTGTCGAGGTTCCAGGAATCATGCCAGTTGAGAGTCACAGTAGTACCATCAAATTGAAGAGGCAACCATATGTAGGTGCTGGCTGCCAAGTTTGTCGAGTGCCATCTGTCGCCCATGTAGATGGCCTTGTCGGTACCGAGGGGAAGGACAAAGCTGACTTGACTGTTGTAAGTCTTCGAACCGACGGGTGCGAACTCTGTCCAGTTAGACCAAGGTCCAGAGAGAGACGTGGCGTAGCTGTAGACCTGCGTAGATGTTAGCAAATCTCATTAAAAGCTCGGAGAAGGCAGTTTTACATTGTCGTTGGGGTTCCAGCCTGTGAGGTGAGAGCCGAAGATGAAGTACGTGCCATCGCGCTTGACAAGCGCGGGTGACTCGGCGAAGTACTCCCAGCCAAATGTCACTTCAGCAACATCAAGGTAGTCATCCGTGAGCTTGATGATGCGGGTACCATATTCGCGCTGTCTAATGATTAGACTGACTCTTCTGGCGGCCAAAGATAGACTTCAGACTTACGTCTTCGCTCAACAAGTAAGCGCTTCCATCGTCGTCCTTGAAGATGCCAATATCACGGCTCTGGAAATCGAACGGGCGGAAGCTGCGGATGTACTCATACTGGCCGCAGACGCTATCGCCTGTCGCTACACCAACTTTGGCATCTTTGTAGTCAGAAGAGTCGATGTGCAGGTGCAGAACGTATTTTCCAGTGGCATCGTTCTTGGTGACTTTGGGTCGTTCAATGATGCGGTTGGGGCCGAGGTCACCGGCTTCCTCGGTTCGAGTCAAAAGGCGCCCCTGGAAGCTCCACTCAATCAAGTTCGTGGAAGAGTAACAGTTGACTGCTTGGAATGCAGCACCGTCTGTCTTCTCCTCGCCAATCATGTAGTAAACACCATTCTCCTCACTGCTTAGTATTAGCTGTCTCATGCTCTCGAACCATTGCCGCATTCCAACAAGCGCGAGGGCTTAGTTCAACTTACATGATACCTGCACCATGAGCTTGGACGTGCTCTCCGGTATTCGTCTGTGGTTAGGCGAGTCAGAATAAGCTTCTTCAAGCGACTGGGATCCACTCACAGCAGTCCATGTTGCCCCTGGAACAACACTCAGGGCAGCGTTCACGCCGCCCACAGTGAGGGCGGCGGCCAAAGCAATTGGTGAGGCACGCATCGCGACTCTGAGTCTCAATGAAGCTACTTGTCAGAGTATTAAGACTCGGGATGCGAACTTGAAGTTGTTCAAGCATCGTGTCAAAGTTGCGCGGCATACACGATGTTTGTATACACACCCAAGGTCCAATGCCAATGTCTTGGCAACTTACATGTCAGAACACATTACGTAGTTGCCCAGCCATTGGGAATTTCTCTGGTTGTTGCGCATATAGAAACACTGGTTCGGGTCAGTGTGAAGCGAATGAGCAGAATCTCCAGGCCATACAGCGTCACATTCGACAGGTTGAATTCGGTTAGTCTTCCGATCGAACGACCACTGTGGGGATCTCGGAGCCGAGCATAGCGTCCTTCCCCAGCTTCTTCATCACACTTTAACGGTGATTGTCGATGGGAACCTCCACAATGACCCCGCATCCAAGGCGGGAAAACCTGCTGATCATCAGGTTCAAGCGATTGCTCAACGCTGTGATCGACAGGGCCAAGAACACGGGCATCGGTCGAGGGGAAAGCCGCGATGAGTCCCGTGTGATCCTGCAGTTCGTCGTATTGGTATTTCAATAGTCGAATGCCAAGTAAACTCAGCTTCGTATGGTTGAATGGCTGAAGGCTGGGGCATCAGCTCGGAGGGGCATCGCTAAGTGTGCATCTTCCCTTACCCCTCAAGATGCATCGTCTACAATGGCATGTTATTCTCCTTTTTCAATGCAGATTGCCTGAAGTCGTTGAGGTGACAATGGAAACCTAGGTCGACTCAATCTTAGGAATTGCACCTGAACCCGAAGCCGCAGCTCAAGTCCCATCAACTGTTGATTTCTCACAACCTCTCAACGACCTGATCGCCTTCGGCTCACGGAAAGGTTCAAGGAGACTTTAACAAGCTGCAACTAACCATTTAATCAGTGCGTCTTCCAAGTAGCCTCATGATCTGACAACTTCAAATAATTGACCATCGCAACGTTCACAATCACAGGCCCCAGTGGAGTCCAGCATGAGTTGTAATGATTGTCGGTCGATAACTTAGCTGCGATTCACAACCACCTAAAATTGAGTTCCTTCGGAGGCCAGGCAGATACTAACTAGAAGTAAGAGAGGTGGAGAGTTGGAGAGAGAAAGATACAAAACAAAAAGCTATACTCTTGGAACACAAGAATCAAGCGACCAGGCTAGTAAGGATGGCTCACAGAACACTACGCGCTCCCAGGACAAAATGAGCAAGCAATTGTCGCTTGATCTAGAGCAACCATTAGGAGACCGGCGCATTCGGACTCGCTATCATATCATGTCTTTGAATCGCTAGGGAATTTCACTTACTCCATCTCCGTCGATCAGCGTGAATATAATTGCCGATTTGGAGCGTGGAAACGCGTCATTCCATCACCAAAGTCACTCCTCACCAGGAGCGGAGAAAACTCCCGATCTATTCTGCTCGCAAACAAGAACAATCAAATACTGAGGCTACTGGATGATATGGAGTTCGTGCCTGCATGAACAGAGAGGGGGTCACAAAGCCTAAACGAGAAGTGCGCGGTGATTCAAGGAATCTAGAGATTTGCCGATAATAGAGTCCATTTAGAGTGAGGCTGCAATAGGCCGACGAAGTGGCTTCTCAATCTGTATCTTCCTCGGCATGCAGGTACTGAGAGCTTCAAATCGAGCCGGCCATCCGAACAGTCACTCTCCGGGCTATGACGATTCTCCCAGGTACCCGGAAACATTGATCGACGATGACGAGATTCCAATACATTCAATATGATGAGGCTCTAGACTAGCCGAGGAGAGAGAGTTGCCTAGCGTCTTGTCAGGGGTGAGGGGGCCCGCAACTACTAATTATCAACCTAGTCGAACGTGATCTCCTGATTTGATGATGCTTGGATCTTCCATAGACGAGGAACTTTCGACTGACAATCTGAATGATGCAATTCAAAGTTCAAGGTTGGGCAGTCTTCACGTGTTGGCCCCGAGGCTCGTGAAATCCTCCGAGGTTTCTTCCCAACGAGGTGGAACCTTGATCTCACTACCCTATTTTTGACAGTATCATCCTAGCTTACATGTCAATTATTCAGTGTCTCGTCCGAAGTAATACACACGGACACGTCACTTATACCAAACTCGCTCAAGGCCACCACTAAGGAGCCGTTGCTTTCCTGGCCTTGGCGCCTTGCGGCTGCTCCCTTGCGTATTCGGCTTATTCGGTCATCCGATGTTGTATAAGTAAAAGCTGTGAAGACCATCCCTGCTTTCCTACTAAATTCACAACGGCCAGCGGGCTTTTAAAGTCTAAATCTGTGCCCCACGGCCTAGAACGGATGCTTAATGCGAGAGCATGAATGGGCGTCATCCACTGACGTTCCAGGGACTGATCGAAATAGGCTCCAAGGTGCATGTGGGCCGTTGGGTGTTGATTGAACTCTGAGATAATGTTCATCGTGACATGGTATGATGAAATCGTATTCGCAGAATCAGCGAGACCTCAGAGAGAGGCTTTTGCGATCGCTCGAGTCATTATAAAGCCAGGGGAAACCCCCTCCTACACAACAGTTGCCATTCAACACCAAGCACCATTTACTTGACCACAATCACAGCGATACCCGCAACATCAATTCTTACTTCAGAACTGTTAACAAGCCAAATTTACACGACCACAGACTCGTCAAAATATCTACACCTTTGAGTTACACCTCGCCACTCAGTCAGGCTCTAGACACATTTCTTAACAAGAACTTAACAACCTCACACAACTTCAACATGCGTTTCTCAACAATCTTCACCCTCCTCGCCGCCACACTCGTCGTCGCCGCACCAGCACCAGCCGACCTGCAAGCTGACGGCGACAAGGACAAAGGAGGCAAAAAGGAGGGAGGCGCTATTGCTTCCTGCGAGGTACAAACAGCCGCGGACCACGTCAAGTGTATAGACGCCTGCGGAGCCGCCAAGAGATCCCTGATGAGAAGAGCAGACCAGGGCCTCGGTGATAAGGGCGACAAAGGCAAGGGCGGCAAAGACAAGGGTTGTATTATGGATTGGTAAGTTCACAGAACGATTCATACCAGTGGCTTGAGAACTAAGACTAATGGTTTTGCAGCACCTCCAAGGCTGTGGCAGGCTACACCGGTTGTGCGGGTGTTGGTCCTGGGCCTGCTCCTACCAAGCCCAACTAAGAGAAAGAGGGGATTGGTGGAATTGGTTGTTGATTTTTCAATGTCTTTGCAAGCGTTTTTCACTTTTCGTCAGCGTTGTTGCCTGGCTTGTGCTCTGGCGAGAAGATTGATTAGAGGTTGACGAGTATGATGATGACATCACCGAAGTTGTACAATACATGTAGCAGTCCAAGTTGAGGTTAGCTGGAAAATTTGTCTCCATAACGTGGAACAACACTTACTTAAACTGTGTGCTAGGTCGTCAGTCGGACTTGTTTGCAAGCTTTTTATTCTCACTTAACTGTAGATGGTATTCGGAGGTACATTCTGCCTGTAGACTCTTTCCAACACAAAGAGTCAGTCATCCACCTTGTGGCACCTGATCTTCTCCTAGATGATGACTGATGTAAGTTACTCTCTATTCGTATCAAAGACCCACTGTGGTGTGCTATGGGTAATCTTCGAAGCAACTTATTATTGAGTTTTAAGACTCTCAGTGTGCCACTCCCTTAGCTTCTCACTCGAGCCAAATCTTCTCTCCATCCTCGACCTGAAGCTCATCCTCCGACGTCATTCCACCACTCCCACAAGCCTGCCGCAAACAAATCCAACTCTCCCTCTTAACCTGCCGAAACACAACAGCGCCAATCCTATTATAACGCCCTTCCCCAACTCTCTCCACAAGAATCCCTGTCCCGGAGTAATTCATTTCAGCAATGTCCTCATCTTCGACGTATCCATCATCCAGAAACCAATGCCCCCATTTATTCTGTAGTAACTTTGACGCCGCAAGCAAGAGCATCTCGCACGGCACGCTGTTCTCTGAAGGCTGGATATCAGGATAAGCTTCGATGAGCGCGTCACTCTGGTTCAGTCCCGGGAACGTGAACGTCCAGTGACCTTCCCCAGTTGCCTCAAGCGCCCCATGGCATATATGAGCTTGGAGGCGGAGGGATGTAGATAGGAGCTCCGAGGGCTTATCCATAGCGAATTCCCTCTTCGTCTCCGGCTGTGTGACTGCGCCTTGCGCTGCCATTTTCGGCGCGCCATGCTTCTCAACCTCTTCTTCTCCTGCGATGTCCTCAGCAATGGGAGTAATCGTAGTAACACCACTCATCCTAGCCTTCTCCGAGACCCGCTCCGAGGCCCGATTGAGCTTCCTCGTCATATTCACAACCTCATCCCGCCACACCGTCGAATGCTCACCCTCAAACCTCCCAAAAAGCGGCTTCTTGATCTGAAACCTCGCGTTCCCACCTCCGTGGTCGCACGCTGTATAGAATCTCGGCAACCTCGGCACCCTAGGCGCAACCTCAACCTCCCCCTTTAACGAAGTCCACGACCAGCTAGGATTCCCGACCGCCACACCCCTAGGGACCACAATCTTCTCCTTCTCACCATATCTCTCCGAGGAAGAACAATCAACGACCCGCCACGCAAGCTGCTCGGAGAGATTAATCCCCCACAACCCCGCGGCGTACTCCTCACCCAGCGCATCCCGCAGGAGCTTCGCGATACCCCACAGCGCGGCGAGTTTATCCTTGCCGTAGGTGAGGTCGCAGCTCGTGTAGGCCGCAACAGCACTCTTCCAGAAGTCTTCGAGCGAGTCTTCGGCTGTGCCGGCGAGGGGTCGAACGGAGAGAGCGGAGGATTGTAGGCGTTCGCGCCAGTGTCTGTCGGTGGCGCATTTAGTGTCGAGGGGTGGTGGCAGGCCCTGGGGGAGGGATTCGGTGGCGGTGAGGGTTGCGCAGTCCCAGAAGAGTTGGGTTGAAGTGAATTGGAGCAGGCGGGGGGAGAGCATTCGTTCTGTTCACAATGTTAGTATACCGGCTGAAAACATGACGATGGGGATGGCTCAGACCAGGGGGGTTGAAGATACTGACCTTGGAATACCCAGCCGCGAGTGTAAAGGTGGCTCCCCAACAAGTCCTGATCCCATAAATCCGCAGGCAAAACTCTCCACACCCTATCCCCAAACGTCACGGATGGTTGCTGGCTCTCATACCTCACAGGTACCACCTCCGCCGCCCTCTCTCTAAACAGTCCACGCGTATGGTCCTTCGAGTCCGCCGCCGCGAGATTACACCACGAGTTCCGGTAGACTTTATGCATAAGCGGCGCCTCATGGTTCCAGTCCTCGCCGTGCTGCTGGCCCTGGATAATACACAGAGAATCGATCCAGATATACCTCATTCCTAGCGTGCGAACAACGCGCACCGCGTCGGCAAAGTTCGCGTTGCTGGTCTGAAGTTCTGTCCAGGGAATGCCGTTAGTGGTGTATTCGTTGACGTTGGTTTCTGTGAGGCGGATGAAAGTGCCTGTGCCCCAGCAGTGGGAAAGGGTCATGTAGGGGCCGGTGATGGGTTCTTTTGTGGTGTCGATTACGCGGATGTGAGAGGGTGGCGTTGCGTCGTTGGCGTTGGTGCTTGGATGACCGACATCGAGGACGCGGGTTGGGATGAAGGACTTGATGCTGTGGCTTCGGATGCATTTTGGGTGGTTGTTGATGCAGTCTTGCATCCAGTCTATCATTTGTGCTTGGGATGCCTCTGAGTCTGTTCGTTTTCCGAGGTCGTGCCGCTCAGGTATGTCGCCCAGGTCTAAGAGGAGGATAAGTATGTGTGTGTGTGAACTCATGAATACAAATGTGGAATTTGTATGATATTGGCCAACCTTCTTCGGGGAAGAGATAGAATGTGATTTCAGAAAGATCTTCGCTCTTCATCTTCCCACAAGCGCGGCCTGATACTGGTCGAAACGTGACGAAGACATGACTCTTCGTCTCACGGATCTGGGCAGCCTGCCGTACGTTCCAACGAAAGAGGGATTTGACCTCAAGATCATGGTCAAACCAAGGGTCGATCTCACCGAGGCCTTCAGCTAGCCTGGTACAGAAGACACATTGAGAACGCAATGAGCCCTCGAATGAGTCGGAGTCTTGGTGGTGATAGCCCCACTGTTTCGCAGACTCGAGGACTGTGGTTTGGCAGAATTCACAGACGATCATTGTTGATTCAGATCGAAATGCAAGCTCTCATCTAGTTACTCCCATTTCATGAAAGATAAATCCACGAGGCTGAGATAAAGAATGAGCTGCCCCAATGCTTGAGTGAGATTTTGGGCTGAGAGGAGCAGGCAGCCGTCATCTTGAAAGTGGTGGGGTCATTGAACATCACGCAGACAGGGGTCGTGATTGGATGCTGGAGGCTGAGTGATTGAGTGCGCGCAATCGAAGGTAAGAGCAGAGATGAACATAGCATTTGTCGTGATAATTGACGATGAGATGAGTGCAACTGAAGTGACTGTGCTCCGGGGGCAATTTGCGTCCAGATAAGGTTCATTATTACTGGCTTGGCTCATAATTAGTGAGTAGAGGCTCAACTGGTTTACCTCAAACTCAGCCCAAAGGCCTTGAAGAAAGATCCCTTCTGCGGCGCCCTATGCCAAGCCGTAAACCGTGGTTTATGAGGCTAGCCACCAGACCAAAGTTTCCCACTTCTCGTTCGCTCTCGCCTGGTGTTTCGTTGTTTGGAGTTCCCTTGCCTCGTTGGTGCGGCAGCAACTCAGTTAATCGGGCAAAATACCGCGGTCGGCCAAGCTCTGAACTCAATCCCCAGCTCTAGTCCCTCTTATCCATGCTGTTCGAAAAGGGGCGATTTCCAAATGCAATAAACATCAGGCGCAGACAGCCTCGTTTCTGTTGTTTCTCTCCCTTGAACTCTCTCTCGCTCGGGGACGGCGCCCGACGAGGGCCAGACCAGAGTTTATACGTCGAGAGTTGGGGCGATCCGCTTCCTTTCGGCCAGCGGCATCAACATGCCCCCAATTCATCCATTACCCCCCGCTCGGCGTTTGCTTTCTTATGTTGCTTGCGTTGCTTGCCGAATCCGATTAAGCAGTCAGTGCCAGAAGCGAGAGAATAGAAACAACAGCCCCAATCGAGCCGGACCCCTTGTAGCTGGACGCAGCAGATGTGCCATTGGCTGACGACGACGACCTCGTCTGGTTGCAGGAGACGAAGCCGTTGCGCGATGCAGCGCCGGTGTGGGTCATGGCGCCGACGTAGACACAGCTGCCCCGGTAAGCCGGGTCGAACACGACACGGTCGGCTCCGGGCGCCCCTGCATGATGTAGCAATGTCAGTGCGTGTTCTCATGTTTGATGACGTGCCAAGAGCGGCGAAAGTGACGGTTGAAATGCCAAGAGACCGGTTCCTGGGGAATGATGAGATGTTAAAGGGATTCAAAATGCGACTTACGTCCGCTGTAGTTTCCAGAAGTTATGATGGGGAACTCCTGGTAGGGGCCCGACGTGGCGAAGACAAGGCTCTCGCGGTTGTTGAAGCGGTGGGGATACTGGCTGGTGCCGATCTGCTGGTTCGCGGCGTAGAGACGGCAGCCTTCTGCCGTGGCGTCCTGGATTTGTCTCTTGGAGTACTTGTTGCTGCCGCAAGTGACGGTGCCGACGTCGGTCGTTCCCTGGCGCTTCTCGAGGGCCTGTTCTGGCTCGGGGTTGGCGATGGGGTTCGCGGCGGTGGAGACAGCGCAAAGGGCGAGGGTGAGGGCGGATTTGAAGGAGACCATTTTGAATGGCGTCGTCTGATGGACTGGAAGGTGGAGTTGAGATGAGGTCGTGGTCGATGAATCAGAGGACGTTGGGTGATGTGGTGTTTATGATCTGCAACGTCTTTCGAGACGTGACGAGAGCTGGGTAATGGCGAAGTGTGGCGTGAAGCAAGGCAATAGTTAAGAAGATGGGCTTGCCCGCGATTAAAAGTTGCGAATGCTTTATTGAGTTGACTACTGGAAGAACAGGGCGAGCGAAGAAAGGACAACAAAGCTGCCGAGAAACTTGGCCGGCGCGAAAAACCCGATTCCCGTGTGCCAAGTGTGGAAAATACAAATTAAATCCAGTCGCTTTCAGCTCGCATCGTCCCTTCCTGCTCCGGGGCCAGGCTGGGCGGTTCCCCCAACTCCCAAACGTTCCCAAACAAGTCAAAACTTTATTGGTCTTTAGGCGTTTCCGCGGCGTTTTCAGGCGAGCCGGGTTCAGAGACGGTGCTGGCGCAGGAAGGGACGGAGGGAGAAGTCACGTGAAATTTGAGTTGGCACCAATCAAAGCTTGACAAAAAACATAAGCTTAATCTTGTGCCTGTTTCCCAGAGGCCGCCGTCTCCACTTGGTTTGGGGGCGATTGGCTGGATGGGTTTGGGTTCTGGTTCTTTGCAGCGCCAGGTCCTGGGCTGGAGAGCGGGAGGAGCCGATCTACCGAGACAAGATACAGTTAGGTCCAATGGAGATAAATGCACATAATTCAGCTGGGCGTGCCACAATCTGAAAGGTCAAACAATCACTTCCCAGACACAGCCACAGGCCATTTGGAGGGATCAAGAAAGAGTGCATGGCTTGCGTGTCTCGTCTTGTCCACGCCCGCTGTGCCTTCCGTGGCTGCCCGGCCGGCTCCTGCCTCTCCTCTCCGTGCACGGTGCAACGTGGCAGCCAAGAGCGGGGCTCTCTTCATTGCTTACCTGCTTACCTAAGGTTTCCACAGGCTCTGCCTGGTACAACTTCGAGTACGTACCGCGTGCGCGACTCCCCGCTGACGACGTCAGTGAAGCTGCGTTGCCTCCACGTGGGCCGAGATTGGCTAAATTGGCCTCGTCCAGGCTTCCCACCTTCCCGTTGTGACATCGCCATAAAACGGCTATCAACACTAGCACCTCCACCACCGCCACATCTTCTGTCAACCTGTCAACATCGCAACCCCTCCACCTCTTGTTCAAATACCTCTAGAAAGCCATTTCTCTGTACTCGTTCACGTTCTTTCTCACATATACCCAAAATGAATAACTTATTGCCGAAAACCGATGCGCCCAAGGTGGGCGTGAACGACGCCATTGCTGCGTTGCCCGCCTACAAGTCCCTCAGCTCCTTCGTCAAGACCGATGGCACCACCGACAAGAAGGCACTCGAAAACACCGTTGACGAGTTCAAGGACCTGGCGAAGAAGTCCGAATCCCAGATCGAGGATTTCCTTTGGGACACCTACAACGCAATCTTCGCCGTTGCCAAGCAGACCCCTCCAGAGAAGCAGGCCCCGCTACTCGATTTCCTGCAACGCCTGCGCGAGACCACTGTCACAGCCTCGGATGGTCAGCCCCTGAAATTGAACAACCAAGTCGTCTGGAAGGATCTTCCCACCTTTGGATGGGTTGCCCGTGATCTGTGGAACTTTGGTGAGTACAACCACCACCTGCAACACGGGATATGCCGCACAAATACCCCTGTGCTATCTCGGACGAGGACAAACCTCACTAACGCACCAAGATACCACCGACACCTCTGCATCAGCCGAGGAAAAGGCAAGCTGGACAAACCTCTCCGCCTTTGCCGCTCAGCTCACCGCCCGCGCCGACCTTACCAACCCCCAGGACCCCTTTGATTTCTCCCTTTACGCCCTCTGGGCCCTGCGCGACGCTTTTGAGGTAGACTTCGCTGCGGCGAGCGTCGAACGACACTCTATTGCCACTAGGCTGGCCTATCAATGGCTTTCTTACGCCCCGGACGCCCTGCATGATTTGAGTCTCAAGGGGCGCGATTTTGACGGCAAGTCGGGCAAGCCGGGGAGCAAGTTTGCGGACCGCGAGTGGAAGGGGATGAATGAGGCGAGGTATGGTGCCTGGGCTGACAGCATTACGTCGATATCCCAAACAGCTTCTGATGAGGAGGTGCGCGCCCTTGCGAAGGAGGCTGCCGCAAAGCTGAAGACTAAATAGGGGCAAATGGATCACAAATGCGTCTTGGAGATAAACTGGCTGAAACCAGGGAGAGGATGATACACATGAAAATAAGTATATATAGTCTAGCACTGAGAGCCCTTGCTCATCAATGGAAAAGAATGCACAAACTCCTACTACACGCCCCTTCTTGATGATGCTAATCGGAATAGAGCGCTTGATTCCTCTATTGCAGCCGTCTTTGCGCGAGAGCAACGAACAGCAAACGAAGGTCCGAGGAAGAAAGGAATCGTTCAACCTTCTTGGAGCTTCCACATGGCAGCGAATGCGCCCCCGTCCTCGAGCAACTTCTTGGGACTATCAAATTCGACGACTTTCCCATCCTGGAGCGTCACGACCTTGTCAAAGTCTATGACGGCCCGCAGTCGGTGCGCGATGACGATTATTGTCCAGCCTTGGAACTCGCTACCGATGAGATCTTGCACGATCTGTTCCGTGGCTTGATCGAGACTTTTTGGTAAATTTTAGCGTGGTTGACGATCTAGGGTGAAAATAGAGAGAGCTAGAACTCACCTGCTTGTCGCTTCATCTAACAACAAGACATGACTAGCCCTCAGGATGGCCCTAGCCATGCAGAAAAGCTGCTTCTGTCCCGCGCTAAGCCAGTCAGTGTTCAAATTGGCCTCGAGACCTCCCTTGTCTTCAAACAAAGCCTTGAGACCCGTCTTCTTCAACGCATCCCAGATATCGGCATCATCATTGCGGGACTCAAAGGGGTCCAGGTTCTGACGAACGGTTCCGGGCAGGAAGAGTGAATCCTGTGGCAGAGCGACGAGAGATTCTCGAAGCCGTGTGACAGGCACGCTGCGAATATCCACACCGTCTACCTCAATCGCACCAGCAGATGGCTCGTGAAGTCGGAGCAGCAATGCAAGAAGCGTGGACTTTCCGCTGCCCGTTCGTCCGCAGATGGCTACCTTCTCGCCAGGCTCGATAGTGAGATTGACGCCGCTGAGAACCTGATGATCATCATATGCCGCCGACACGTTGCGGATATCAATCCGGCCCCTGGATGGCCACTCCTCCTTCACTGCAGGATCCTCGTCGTGACCTTTGCTCTCCTCAGACGGAGTCTCCGTCTCAAACTCTCTGATCCTCGCCACAGCACCCAAACTAGTCTCCAACTGCGCCCAATAATTCAACAACTGCGTCAACAGCTGCCCAAAGGTCATGACACTCACGAGCGCCACGCCAAGCAACCCTGCGTCGACCCGATCCCTCAGCAAAACAGCAGACGCCACTAGCAACACCGCCAACGCAGCAACGACAAGATTCAGCACCAGCAGAAGCCACTTCTGCAGACTACCCATTGCGTAGAACGCGCGTTGGGAGAGGTCTAGGCGTTGTAGGTTCTGTCGTTGCACGCGGGATGTCCAGTGTGGTCCGAGGGCGCGGATGGTGATGAGGCCGGTGGCGGAGGCGATGAAGTGCGAGAAGAGCGGGGATTTGGTTTCGAGGTCGAGGAGGCGGATTTGGCGGGATGTTTGGAGGTAGATGCGTTGGAGGAGGTAGAGGAGGATGATGAGGATTGGAATGGAGATGGTGAGGGTTGGTGTGGCGAGGGTCGTTAGGGCTATATCTGCTATTGCGAGTGTGAGGTCTGCTCATGGTGTTAGTCACTAGGCTTGAGGAGATGGGTTGGCTGAGGATGGTGATTGTGGTTCTTACTGTCGAAGGTTAGCATGAAGGCGAGGGGAAGGGGAAGGTCGACGAGGTTCATGTCTTGGCTAAATCTGGATTGAGCATCAAGGTCAGTCGAGGGTCTAGACGGTATTCTAGAGAGTGTAATTATATAGGCTTACCGGTTGATGATGACGCCTGTATCGGTCTTGACGAAGAAAGACAGGGGCGCGCTGGCATCATTTTAGACGTTAGATCAACGTCTTCCTCCCAGTCAATTAGACAAAGTAGGACAGTTCTTACGAAAGAGCGGCTTTGAGAACGCTGAAATGAAGCCCCTTGGCCGAGTGAGGAACAATGACAACAAGGAAGTAGCTTGAGGGCGGACAATAACTCTGTCAGTAACCCGGGTCCCTTCTTTAAAGAGGAGTAGGTAGGAGGGATTTGGGGAGGTAGTGGGACTCACTAGCACTCGATGGCGAGGGCCATTTCCGTCAAAACGCCCCAGAGAATGTAGACGCCCACCCACATCCCCAGACTCTCTTGTCCTCCTCTCTCGTTGGCAGTGACCCAGAACTTGACCCAGAGACCTATGAATGAATTAGCATACTCTGAGAAAGCACCCACATGTAACTCCTAGCCGAGTGGCATTATGTAGAGACGGTAGGGGCCTAGATGAGATGATTTCTTACGTTGCATGATTCTGCAGATGGTCTGAAATATGACCATCGCCACGAAAAGCCCAAAAGACGTGATTCCCATGGACTTGATGTAGTATAAAAGGGAACTCGTATTCGCGGCGCCGCGAGTTTTGGTCTTGGACGAGTCATCTGGCTTGGGAATCGCAGCAGCCTTGTCCTTCTTATTGGCACTCTGGGCTCCTGATTCTGCTTCCGCTGAATCGCTTTCCTCTTTACCACTCTTCTGGGTGACCTTGAGAGTACTGACGTAGCCTCCGGTCTTGCTAAGGTCTTCATACAAGCCTGTCTCCAAGATAGTTCCGTCGCTGCCGAGGGAAATGATGTTGTCCGCGGAACGAAGCCATTGGGCTGCGACCATGATTGGCTATGTCAGTAGGTGCTCCTTCATACCAGACAGGTTGATGGCAAAAGACAGGGGCAGTGAAGCAAATATGAGAGTCATTCACCATTGTGCGTCGCGAAAATCACAGCTCTCCCCTCCCCACGTAAGAGGCCATCGGCCCCAAACAGCGCATTGAAGCATTTAGAAGCCGTCTTAGAGTCGAGACCTTTTAGGTTATCGTCCATGATGATGATCTGCTTCCTGCTGTAAACGGCTCTGGCAAGTGCCTATCGAAGATCGTTAGTAATATGTCACAACTTATCTGGTAGAGGTTTTAAGTGGTTCAACATACAATCCGATGTCTCTGACCACCGCTAAGAGCCGAGCCCGAGCTTCCAACTATGGTCTCATCACCTTGCGGAAGAAGACCGAAATCCTCTTCCAACTGACATGCCTGCATAACCTTGCTATAAAAGTCTGCCGCTTCGTGCGGCGCGACGCCGCCGACAATATTTCCCTTGATGCTCTGGTTCAGGATCCAGGGGTCTTGGTCGCAGTATGCCACGTCTGTTGAGCTTGCGTACTCCACCGACCCTGAGATACGGTATGTCTCCCCCACGAGGGACTTTAGCAGTGTAGATTTGCCGGAGCCGACGGGTCCGACGAGAATTGTGAGGCTTCCTGGGCGGATCTCGAGATCTAGTGACTTGAGAACGGCTTGGTCTTTATGCCAGCCGAAGGAGCCCTTTGAGACTTGGATCATGGATCGGGCCTGGCTGTCATTTTGCGGCAGTTCGCTACTTCCATTGCCCTCCATAGCGGGGTCTGGGGATGTGTTTGATTTGACGAGGCGGTAATCCTCCCGCTTTTCTTTCACCAGATACTCCTGGATTCTGTCAAGGCATCCGATGGCGGCTCCGAGGTTGTTCGGGATCATGACGAGCTCGGAGACGGGGTTGATCAGGATACCGAGGAGGCTGAGGGATGTAAAAGCCTGAACCACGTTGAGAGGTTGGCCGCCGGATATTTTGGAGATGATACCAAAGGCGGCGAAGGTGATGGATGGTGTCATGATGGATGGGAATTGTCCTGGGAAGTTTTAGACATGGTGCGACTACAGGCGCGAATGTTCCCTGGCTTACCGATGAGCACGTTGAGAATCTGCACTCTTCTGAACTTCTTCGACTCATCCAGCTCAAAGTCCCGAAGACCTTGAATCTGGTCCTGGACCGTGCTAGTCAGGCCGCTCATCTTGACACCCTTGACAGACCCGATGATCTCGGTGGTGATGCCAACCCGCTGCTGGATCGCCTGCATCCACCTCCTCTGCCGCGGCGGGATCAACTGGCCTGCTCTGATGCCGGCCGACACACTGACTATCCATCTTGTTAGATAACACAGGGTCTATGATACCAGAGCTATGGGAAGACGATCGACTTACGAAGAGCGATGATAATGGGAGCAACGCTCACAGCCCCAAGTTGCTCGCTCATGATCCACATGGCGAATCCGAGCTGGACGAGATTAGGAACGATGGCGACGCACCACTGAGCCGCCACGGTAATCCGCTCGACCTCTGTACTCATCAAAGCGACCGCCGCCTGGGAGTTACCTGTCTCCGCGCGGAGGGTGAGCATGTTCTGGTAGATGATGGCGATGAGGGCGCCGCGGATGCGGGTGATAAGGCGATGGGTGAGTTGACCGGACCATCTGGTGGAGATCTGTGTGCAAAAAGGGCGTGGTTAATTTCGGATTCTGAAGCTTGCCAAAGTTCGAAATAGTCACACGTACCGCTAGTCCGATGTATGTGATGGCAAAGGCGGCGACGAGGGTTTGACCGTAGGTGATGGGCTTGTCATTATGTTCTCGGATGTACTCGATTGTGGTTTTCACGAGGAGAGGTTGCGTGAGACCAAAGGCCACCATACCGACGCGCGGGATGTGGATGAAGAACAGCTCGGCTCGGAAGGCCTTGAGAATCGCTTTGACTAGGGCGTGATTCTTGTCCTGATCGACTAAGAGAATTCTCACTTAGCATCAGGTAACACTCAAGAAGCAACATTATCATCAGGAGTAGGTCAAGAGAGTGACGTACCGCTCTTCCACGCTGAGGAAAGCCGCTCAAGCACCGCTTCTCCATCGAGGGCTTCATCGAGCGGATCGAGATCTTCTGCTACCAGGTTCTTCTTCCAACCCAGACGAAGCATAGGGTTGACCCATGTCGCGAAGCTCTTGCCGAAGATGCCTGATGTCTCCTCTCGAGAGATTCGACGGGCTGGGATGGCGATGATGGCGGGGTTTGGCACGGACTCGGCTGCGAGTAAGAGTACCTTGAGAATGACTTGAACTGTCAAGAGCAGGGCGATATAGCCCTCGCTGTTGTTTTGCGGTGATAGATGCCAAGCCGTTCTCACGCGGGCCGCGTCGAGAAATATGGTAATCAGTAGGAAAAGCTGAAGCAGGGCTGATGGTGCGGGTGATTTGCGGTGCTCTCGCTCCGATATCAATGTGAAAAGGATGCTGGCCGTGACCGATAGGATCCAAGAAGCAATATCGACACCAAATTGACTCTGGCTGTCTCTTTCAAGGGCAACTCTCATGAGTAAGATGATTTGGAACGCCGTGAGAGCCTGCCAGAGGACCTATTTGCGTAGATTAGTCTTATAAAGTCTTGCACGTCAGTTCTATCGGAACATGCCTGTTTGAGTGTAAGAAGACCTGACCCTTGGCCTATCCAATCATCGCTTTGGTGCCCGGCATATCTGACAATGCCGGATGTCAAGACAACCGCAATTGGTACGATGGCGATTGAGATGGGTGCGATCAAAAGTAACAGGAAGCTCAAAATGATGAGGCTAACCAGGTTGGCCACTGGGCGGATGTGTCCATGTGAGACCACTGCTCTAGCCTGGAGCTGGTGACGACGATGAAGTCCCCAGACCAATGCGATCGAACAGGGAACGATGGAGAATATGACTTCCGCAAGGCGAGAATTGAGGTCAAAGCCTCGATGGCATAGGACGGAGCTCCATGGTGAACCATTGGAACAGGCGAAGGCGTCGTCGAAGATGAACTGTTGATTGCGTCCAAGCTGCATGGTTGTTGCGGATGGTGTGGACGTCAGAGATGCCATCGTGATCTCAAGTGACAGAAACGCTGGTCACTAAGGATTCTTATGAATCGCTCACGGCTCAATTGGCTTCGAGGTTTGCCGCATCCCTGATGCTTCAGTACATTCGACAGTGAGATGACGCGCCCGAAATTGAGTGAGCACCGCGATACCGCGACGACCCGACAAAAGTCCCCTTTTGGCGAAGGATTCACAACAGGGCGGTTTCGAAATTGTAAGACCGGGACAAATACCCCTGGCAATCAGGAACAGTCGGTCTTGACGCCCCCCAAGCATTTTGTCTCGGCTCTGTAGGCTGACGGTTCACCTGCCTGACGGAGACTACTTGGCGCTCTGATAACGGTACTCCTCTGAAAAGATTTCCTCGTCAGCAGACGATAACATCGGGAAGAGACGGGCTGGAAGATGGCGTCAGGCTCACGCATGGTTACTCGATCAATTGCTCCCTGGTGAGAGGATTGCAATGCTCGTGGCTCCGAGACGAGAAATTCGGCATTGAGCGACTTTGCTGGAGTTGAGACAGATCAACATGCTGAACGGGTGAGGAACAATTGATGAGGTGGACGTTCCTTTGGGGACAAGCGACCCCTGACTGATTGTTGCTGTGCCGCAACCTCACAATAAAACGACATAAATTGACTTGACCAGCCTACGAGACTTCTTCACATCGTGAAAGAGAAATTTTATTAATAGAAAACAGCCCAAGACTGCAATGCAAGGGCCAAAGTAAAAGATCATGATCCACGTCCATAAATTTTCAATCATACATGTTGGGTCAATTGCCAAAATCCTGAACGCACTTGCTGAACCGCTCGATATCCACGAACATCCCCCATTTTCACGAGCGTTCAGCATCACGGTCTCCGCTGCTGTCCCACATTCAGCGCAAGGCAACAATCAATTAAAACACCTAAGTGAAAGTCTGCAAATCAAGAGGCACGCTGCTCTCCGAGATGGCCGTCAACTTGTTCTCTGTCTGAATAATGGTACCCGGATGAAACACATTGAACACGGCAGCAACAAGGAACATCAGCGCCGCATCGAAGACGTAAATGTACACCTCGCTTGCCATCAGCGCTCCATTGCTACCAGTGACGTACTCGGCAACCCTGAAAACCGACCGAATCATGATCAGAAGACTTGCGCCATAAAGGATCCAGAGGAACGGTCTCCAGCGCAGGGAGGCAGAGTTGCAGGGATCAGTGGGGTTCTGATTGATGCGATAGTGGAACAGAAAGGTGACGATGATGAAGCCTCCGAAAAAGAGAATTTGGACGGCGAGGCCGGCGATGATGATGTTTTCGCCGAGGTCAACGTCGGATAGAGACTTTGCTCGGGATAGGATTGCGCCGCCTGTTCAAAGTATGTGTTAGCCCAACCATCCGCGGGTAAGAAGCCGGAAAGAAGGAAACACACCTGCGCCCTGCGTCACGAAAGAAATCACGTCACCCAAGACAAACAGTTTGGTCAACCACTTTGTTCTGATCAAAGCCAGGTGCTCGGCCTCAAGGAAGCGAATGAGACGGCCCAGGACCATGTAGATAGATGCAGCAAGGAGCGCGGGCCCAAGAAGAAGCGTCAGGCTCTGGATCGTGTAGGAGGTTGTTGACCAGTTTGGGGTCTCTGTCGCGGATAGTGCACGGCCTATATAGCCCACGATTTCAACTGTGACATTGAATGTCAGTAAGTGTGAGGTAATAAGCAAGATACGCCTAGTGAGGCATGGACTAGCTTCGATAATTATCACTTACAGCAGCAGCCAATCAAGAATGGAACAAAGTACCAGGCTCGAAGCTTGATCATCTGAAAAAAATGCAGCGCGGATGAGATGCCAAAGAGGGCGATGAAGATGCATGCTGCTGGGAGAGAAGGGTTGTAGTGATAGAAGACGAATTCTCCTGGGCTGTTATCTGTTGGTGAGTCCATGGTTCTAGATGACTGGGACGTTGAAGTATCAAGTTCTTTTCCCAAAGTAACAAAGCACTCTTCTATGGTGTCTTCGACGAGAAATTGAAGTTGTTGCAATAGTAGGTATTTTCCTGGGCAGGTGAAGGCAACTCGGCATGCTGTCCCACCTCATGGTTATATAAACATGGCGTAGACATTTGCATACTCTTACTTGGCTCCGCTAACCTATCGACAAATGTTTGAAATCAATATGTCTTCCCGCACGTCCTTCATAAGCATAGTTGAGGCTATGCTTGCTGCTCTGTCGAGATTATCTCGTGTCTTGAAGTTGTCAATCTCTTGGCTTAAATCTTGGCTGATGCTCGAATGACAGGTGGTCCTTGCGTCAAATACGTGTAAGTTTAGCACCGACAAGCTTTTGTCGCGGGTGTTGATTCACCCAGTGTCTAAGCTTAGAAAGTCCGCGGCTCTTAGAAATCAAATCTCCGCAACTCAATCTGGGTACACTAAGGATAGATAAACATATATGAGCGGTCGGTCGGCTTCGGGTTCGGGCGCCTCAGTCCAACTACTCTGCGGAATCGAGTCAGAATTCGAGAGCAGACATCAAAATTGGTCGTGTATCACGCCTCTATCCAACATGCCACGGATTGGACACAAAAAGTCCCGTAACGGTTGTTCCAACTGTAAACAGAGAAAGGTCAAGGTGCGCTGGTTTGTTCTCCTGCCTCGTACAAGGAGACTCTCACTTTTCCTTCCACTACTTCTCGCCAACCAGCAGACCCAAGGCTGACTTCGCTTCAGTGCGATGAGAACCGGCCATGTGGCGCTTGCGTCAGACTACAGATAGATTGCAGCCTGGCGCCATATACCATCCAAGATGGTTCTCAACTCCGCGCATGTGCACTGGATGGTCACAGAGACGACTTGTCAACCATCTCATCCAAGAGCACTCCACCAGGAGCCCCATCGACAATGCCGCCGCCCTCTTTAGGGGCAGACGTTCCCGTCGGATCCGCGACCGACAATATCTACCCCTGGATGACGGATCTCGGCTTGATGAACCACTTCACATCCGTAACCTCCGCAACCTTGCCCGGGGCTAACCTCCACACCTGGCGCGACAAGGTTCCGGCGGTGGCAGCGGACTCGCCCTACCTCATGCATCAGATTCTCGCAGTCTCCGCCTTTCACCTAGCAATCATAGAACCACTCGGATCTTTCTCCGCGCAAGCTCACACGCAGCAGCAACAGCGGCAGGAGAAGCTATCTTTGGCGCTGCAGCACCAACACCATGCAATTCGTGGAGTTCAGTCTGAGATTTCGCATGTCACGCCTGGAAATTGCGACGCCCTCTTCGCCGCGTCGTCATTGCTCTTCATTGGCGCCTTCGCCGCCTCTGGTCCAATGCTGCACAGCCCCCTGCGTCAGCTAGAAGTGGACGACATCCTGGAGGTTTTCACCCTCATTCGCGGTGTCAGCAGTGTCTTGGCCTCGGCTAGGGAGAATGTGCGGCATAGCATATTGAAGGACTTCATGAAATGCAATCCGTATCTAGGCGGCAACGAGTTGCTAACACTGCTGCAAGATAATGTTTCACGTATCCAGGGTGGGTTGGATCAGCACGACGTGAGTTCCGAGGTCAAGAGCATTATTGGCGAAGCAGTCTTGGGCTTTCGGAATAGCATCGAGCGGGCATCGTCTATCACTCCCGAGTTGAACGTCGCTGTGTCATGGCCCATGGTCCTGCGTGACAACTTCATGGCCTTGCTTGTTGTCAGAGACCCTGCGTCTTTAGTCGTTCTTGCACATTATAGTACCGTTATTCATGCTGCGGGATCCCAATTTTGGTTCATGAGAGAATGGGGGCGCCACCTCATTGCCGCAATTTTAAGATCCCTTCCGCTAAACTGGCGCAATGAGATAAGGTGGCCCGTAAACTATGTCAACCTAGGGCTGGTTAGTCAGAACGAACATCTCGCAATGGCAAGTGATGAATCAGACGGACAGCCAGGCAACCCCTAGCCAATCTTCGATTCAGATATCTTAACCTGAAATCTATGTCCTACCATAGCCTTGTTAGCCAGGTGTATTTAGCTGAATAAAGATTCCACTTACTTTGCCCTTCGTACTCCGCTGGTTGCCTAAATCAACACACAGTATGATTACAAATGTCAAGATTGCAGAGCATTAGACAGAGGGGCCCAAGAAATATGAAATCTGCGATGCGTCAGCTGGCGTGAATTCCAGTTCATGGAGACGTACAAATTGTTATATTGCCAAGAACCAATGTCAATCCGAACCCGAAACACCACGCTGCTCACTCGAAGATGCTATCATTGTAGTGCGTCTTACCATGTATGCAGGATCTTCATTCCAGCCACACGGAAAGTTCAAAGTTTCCGAGAACAGAGGGATTATTGGCTGTCATGCGTGGGGTTCAGTCTTGTCACTCTCCGTGATGCCATCTCTGCTGTAGTTCCACGAGGCTGTGCTTTTGAGAACAACTATTCACTCCTAACGGGGGGACCTTGGCGCTCGAATTGAGGCAAAGCACCTTGCCTCCTGTGTCGCTCTGCTGCCGCTTCTCAGTGGACAGTCAGCAGCCGCCCCTGCGCTCTCTAAGTGCACCTTATCAACCATCGAGACTTGGGAAGTACTCAAGCCCTTGTCGGCGGCCCCCGCCAGGAGCACGCCGCGGTTGCTCTCGGCGACAACATCTACGTTGTTGCCGGCATCGAGCTCGACGCAAGCCAGCCAACCGGTGTCTCCATAATCGACTCTGTGGAGCTGTACAACATCCCCAAAGACGAATGGTCCTTCGCCGCGCCCCTCCCGATCCCTATGAACCACGCCAATGCCGCTGCGGCCAATGGGAAGGTCTACATCCTCGGCGGCCTTTCTGGCGGCGCGGTCTTCCGCGCGCTTCTGAACTGCTACGAGTACAATCCTGCGACCAATGCGTGGACTGAGCTCCCGCCCATACCGAATGGCACAGAGAGGGGCAGCTCCATCCTTGGTGTCACTGGCGATAGGATTATTGTTGCTGGCAGCATCAGTCTGCTCGAGCTCGGAGAAGATGGACTCCAGGAGACTGTCGATACTGTTTCGTCCTACAACTTCGTCACAAAGGAATGGGAGTCATTGCCTAGTCTACCTGAAGGCCGCGAGCATGCCGGCGGCGGCGTCATCGGAACCAACTTTTACGTCGTCGGCGGTCGGTTCCGTAGCCAGACGGCAGTCTGCGGCACAGTTTACGTCCTCGATCTCAAGACGCTGAAGTGGAGCGAGCGAGCGCGCATCCCGGCCCCTCGAGGCGGTCTCTCAGTGGCTATCGTGGGGCAACGAATTTACACCTTTGGAGGCGAGGGAAACCTGGATCCTGAGGCTGGATTTGTGTTCAACGAGACGGAGGTGTATGACGCGCGAACAAACTGCTGGGAGAAGCTTAAGCCGATGAAGACGCCTTGTCACGGCATGGCAGCCGTTGCGTACAATGGGAGCGTCTACACGCCTGGTGGGGGCATTCGCGACTTTGGCATTGTCGATAACATGGAGGTTCTCCACCCCAGCATACTTAGCCCTCAAGGGAAAAAATTCGGAGTAATCGCGTTGCTCGTTCTGGCTCCCTTCAGGACGAGCAAATAGACAATGCTCCGTTCAAGACTCACCCGGGAGAAACTAGCAGTATCTTAGCTAGCATCAATCGCTTTCCTCTTTTCTCAAACTCCGCCGGTTGTCCATGGAGACAAAAAGATGTCTAATACCAAATTCCATCTAGTGATTCAAGCACCAGAGGGTGCGAGGCCCCTGCAGACTAGCTTTGCAACCAGGGGTCAATCCGAACCCGAGATAACCTTAAATAACCCCTGCAATCCGACGGAGTGAGTGCGGACTTTGACTCTGACAGCATCCGTGTCGAGATCAGTTGCGGTGATATATGAATTAGTATCTGGCATGCGAGGCTGGTTGATGACCCTCGCTGTTTTGGTAAGACATTCACTAAAGTACTACTTGACATTCCCTACCTCATTATCTGACTTGAAATCAAATTATTACACATCGCTTCCGCTGCACACCTCCCCTCAATTTGACCGGCGAAAATGCAAGCTTGGCAATACAGCTCCATCAAGGAGACATTAGAAAACTCACTTACTCTCAACGAAAACGCAACTCCACCTAATGCATCGTCCCTCCCCAAAGACCATGTACTCATCGAAGTCATATCAGCGGGCATCAATCCTGTTGAATACAAGCTGCCCGAGATCCCCGTCTTTGGCAAATTCATGATTCAGCCCAACACGACTCCAGGCTCAGACTTTTGTGGCCGAATCCGTTCAAAAAACGGTGCTGAGGGATTCTCCGAGGGTCAAGTTGTCTTTGGGGCCTTGAGCATTGGGACCAAGCTCCCGCAATTCGGTAGTCTAGGCCAGCTCCTCGTCGCTCCCTCCTCCAACATTGCGCCGCTCCCAATGGGCGTCGATCCCGACGACGCAGCTGCTATTGGCACAGCTGGGCTGACGGCGTTTCAGTCGCTTCCGAAAGAGTTGCTCAAGCCAGGTTCTAAAGTCTTTATCAATGGCGGAAGTGGCGGTGTTGGTTCCTTCACCATCCAGTTCGCAAAGGCCGCCGGTGCCTATGTGGTCGCATCTTGTTCTACGGCAAAGGTTGATCGTTGCAAACGCCTCGGGGCGGACGAAGTTATCGACTACCGCAAATTGAACGTTATTACCGAACTTAAGAGCAAGGGGTGTGTTTTCGATATCGCTGTGGACAACGTTGGCAGTCCGGACGGCATGTACGAAAGCTGCTCGCATTTCCTCAAGTCCGAGGGAGTATTTGTGCAGGTTGGCATGTCGACGTCGATGGTGAACATGTTACGGAGAAGCTTGTTACCAGGATTTCTCGGTGGTGGGAAGAGGAAGTTCCAATCCGTGAGGGTAAAACCGAGTCAAGAGGATCTGGAAGTGATTGGCAGGTTCATAGTGGAGGGAAAAGTGCGAGTGCTGATTGATGAGAAATTTGAGTGGCGCGACGCACCAAAAGCATATTCGAAGCTTAGGGAAGGACGTACAACAGGCAAGATTATCGTTCATGTCAACGAGACTTGAAAAGCAAGTTCTTTCTGATCCTTGGGTGGACTTCATTCGGAGGCTCTCTTCATCATGTAGCTCAAACCAACGCATAATTACACTTAGGTTGGGAAACATCGGGATCTTTTATGATATTTTATTGATTTGCGCGACAGTTATAGAACGTATAATCTCTATGGTATGGATGCCCATAGTACACCCATCATCATAATGACTTTTGGAATTTTTCGTCTCGCAATAGTGGAATACAAGCGTAGCTTATGAAAGATCAACCGGCCAAAGACCAAAAGTTCCAGCAGTAAAAGCTTGACATCGGCAATTGGGTGTGACAAACTTTCCTTGAAGCAACGCAGTCTATATGATATCGATTCGCTACATATTACATGTAATCATCGCCCAGCCCAACTAGGAAGTTATCGCCATACTCTCATCACCACTTTTCGAGGTACCATCTAATAAAATACCAAGTCCAAACGACAAGCTAAGACGAGTCGCTCTAGACACAAAGAACACAACATGTAATCTCACTGGTACTCGATGCAGATGGCATCGCTCTTGATGTCCATGACCTCAGCAATGGTGATGTTCTCGGCAATACCAGCCATCCACATGACATGGTCGAGGGTGGTCTCGTTGCCATTGTCGTTGAAGTAGGGCAGGAAGGCGTTGACACCAAGGGAGGAAGGCTGCACGCTGGACCAGAAGAAGCCCTGGGCGACGTTGTTGCCGCCAATATCAGTCAGACGGGACTCGTTCTGAGCCTGCCACTGCCACCAAAGACGGTCCAGGTTGGTGTGGTGAAGGAAGAAGAGCGGGTCGCCAGGTGAGAGAGAGGGGTCATCCATCTAAGGGATGCGATTAGTGTCATGAAGAAAAAGGTGCATGTGAAAAGAACGGAGCAATTGCTTACAGTACCGCCGATGGCGTAGTGACCACCGGTATGAGGGGAGGCACCCAAGCAGTTGTTCAGGTTCACGTAGTCCTCCAGAGCCATGCAGGCATCAATGATCTTCTGAGCAACCTGGTCGTACTCCTTCTGCTTGAAGTCACGGCTCAGGCAGACAGGGTCGACACGGTTGAGCTCGGTGTCGAGAGTCAGTCTGACGTTGGTGTAGGGTCCATCAACGACGCAGCCGTTCACGTCGAGGGAAGCGGAGCCGAAGCCGGCAGTGGCACTGGCGTTCAGGATGCTTGCGTTTTCTAAGGGGAGAACTGCTTGCTCAGCCTGTTCGTCCCAGTATCTGTACGTGGCCCAATCGTTAGTAACAATATCGCCTTTGGTGAGAATGAATCAATTTGAAGCCCAGAGAAGAGCCGTCAATGCAAAAGTGAAGGAACTGGGTTGGAATGAGTCGCTTACGGCATTGGACCAGTGTAGCCGCAGTCATCGCGGAGGAGCTTCTCCTGCACGGTCATGTACCAACGGTGCCAAGGGAAGAAGGCGCCCTAAACACAAATTCTGCATTAGTCCTTATCTTTGTTATTGTAACCGCCCATTTACTCGACGTATGATGATTCTAAACACTTACAACAGAGTGAACAAACTGAGCCTGAGAGACGTGGGCAGCCTGGAGTTCTTCCCAGCGAGTCGTGGATCCAGCGTAGCCCGTCTTGGCGGGAGCCTGGGCAGGGTCCATCAAGCAGAGGGTCGCGCTAATGTATGAAGTCTTCTCATCCTCAGTCAGGGCGGACCTGTTGGTTCCGTGTTAGCGATTTTCATTTTCATAGCCTCGATCTTTGAAGTGAGGAGGGCGGGACCGACCAAGACTTGCGGACGGAAGGGTTAGTGCAAGCTGCCAGAACCCCCTGAGAAGCAGCGAGAACGGTGATTGCGGTGGACAAGAGGGAGGGCATTTTTGCTAGCGGATGAATATCTTTCAAATTAAAGAGATATAAAGAGTGACTGTAAAGAATGACTTGTGGTAAAAGAATGAGTGAAGCTTATTGATAATCGTAGTAAAGACTGTGAGCTTGCCTGAAAAATTAGCTCTACTTCTTGGGACAGATCAACATCTATTTATCTAGACCAGTTACTAGTTTACAACCTTATGTCCTCAAGGCATTCCGATGACCTGGACCATTTCTGACCAAGAATAAGCTGCCCGGCAGTCAACCTGCATTCGAGTTGCTGCGGTTGCGTGCCTGAGCATGGCGCAATACGCCAAGTCGGTTAAGGCCGACCGAGACCCCCGTGTTGCATAAGGTAGAGCATCCATAACCCCCACCGAGGCACGTCTCCTTGCCCGCGCCTCCAGCTGCATCTCACTAGGGTACAGAGATAAGGCCTCCTGGAGATGTTATTCCATCACTTAGAATGCTACATTGCACGAGTCGCTGTTATGGTCTGGAGTCTAGTACGCGTAGTCCGATGCAGAGTATAGACTAGTGCGGCTCAGGTTTAGATCGATATGGCAAGCACAAGATCGCGGACCCAATACTCCTGGTGAAGTCATGATACGGTGCGTCTTGCTGGTTCAGGTAAGTGTAGGTAGACTGCGACTAGGGCAACCTTGTCTACTTTACACATTGGGGCCCTCGTGTAGTTCTGGTATAGGTAGGTGACCTGCAGTAAGTCAACGTGCCGCAATAACCATAAGATATCAAACAGACCGCGGCTAACAACCGGGGGATACTATGAAAAATGAGAACGTACTCCGCCACTGTGGCGGAGATTGCGTTCTCGGAGTGGGTTCAAGATGTTGTAATTTGTGGCACTTGCCGCACTCCGTTCACTCGTCAATTCTCGATTGTGATAACTCCTTTACCCCTGAACACCTTAATCTACTCTTCACAGCCAGCTTTGTAATTCCCCCGATCTCTGCTGTCCAAGCATGCAGAGCGAGTCATATCTTACTCCATTGTGAATCTTGGCTTTTAAGCTTTTCTTCGCGGAGGCGGTGCCTGAGATCCTTTCCCGCGGCCACGGGTACATCCGAACGTATGCAAGCACACCTTTTGTAGTGGGCCATGGTCGGGCCGTAATTTAACTGAGTATATCCGTAGTTCCAACGGATAAGATGCAGGGAATCAACTTTCTTACAAGGTAATATTGGACACATTATTTCATCGGGAATATCAGTAATCAAGACCAGCCAGCTTCCAATCCAGCCCACTGATCTCGTCTCGTCATAGATAGGAATTTATCGAAAAGGAAGCTACCACACGAATATACATGTAGCTATTGCTACAACTTTACGACTCAATAACTACGGGAGTCCTATTCAGATTGACGTAGTCCATGCTGTGGACGGCATCCCCGCGGATACGCGCATTTCATGACGAACACGGACCCGTATCCGCCCCGCTCCGCCCCTGCCAGGCTCACCCCTTCCACCCCCTTTCCTCCTCCTTACTACCATGCTGGCCTACACTTTTGTAAGATGTTGATAGCGTAACAATCCCGAGTCATTCTTAATAGCAGAATTACGTTGTACGCGTAGTGCTGCATGAAAGCCCAGACCTAGTCATTGCTTATTTGCAGGAAAGAATATCACATTTCCCTTTGGGCAGTCTGTCTCATGAAGCACAACTTCATAGCTCGCAGCAAATCCACCGTTCATCCAATGTCAGCTCCACTTCAGCGGGGGAAATATCGAAAAAGAAAGAAACGAGCATTGGCAACACTGACGATTGGACAAAGGCCGCGATGTGACCCTTACAGACCGCGTCACCAACTAGTCCGAAGTTACAAGCTTAGCACACCAAGCCGGGCGATATACCGAAGTCAGTTATAGGCCGCCAGTGCCATCGTCACCCAAGATAACGCACTTCTCAATATTACCAATATTTCTTCTAGGGCCTCATTGGCGGCCTCGCTACTCTGAGGCCGTGTCAGAGACTCTTTAACGTAAAATACCAGTGATCCATCGCGATCTCTGTACCGAGTAAAGGCATCGGGGACGGGGAGACGGAGCTCAAGTGGCGTACCAATATGCACTCCATTAGACGCGATCTGGAAGCTATTTTCTATGTTTTCAGCTACAATGCTGCTTGAGAGTTGGCAAGGTTTACAGGTTCCAAGGTAGGCATGGAGGCTACTATCTGAAGATCTCGTTACAGCCGACCGCGCGGTTGTTAGTTGCCAAGGATCGAAGCGGCATGTCTTCGGCGAAAGACCGAGATCTGCGCCTAAATCTTTCTCCTGTACCCCAGGAGGAAAAAGGCCGGCTAAGGTGTTTTGATCTGCATGAGCCTGATGGAGTACGGATATAAGCTTCCAAAATAAACCCCTGCAACGGCCGGCTGCCGGCTGCCGGCCCGTGCTTGAAGCTTCTGTCAAACCGAGACCGACTGCAGGTAGTTGTTCCGGCGACATTGCTGACAGTTAGCGGAGATGAAGCTTAAATCCATCCGATGTAGGAAATTAACATTTGCTTCTTTAGGAGGTACTCACATCGATTGACGGATGCGTTCAGCATCCAGCTTCAACCGTTTGAAGGCGGGAAAAGCCTCGCTTGTTTCCATCTTGGCGGTTGACATGGCGCATAAAGACTTTGCCGCACCCAAACAGAGAGCCAACTTGGACGGCCCAGCTGAGTCAGCAGCGCATGGGTGCACAGGGTGCGAAATTCTAGACCGCCCGTATCTCAACTATTAATAAATGCGACGGCGGCAAGTGGAAACCACATGGGTTCTCCGGTCTTGACGTAAAAAGGCCATGTGCGGAGAGGATGGGATGGGGGTCCATAGATGTTTGTCTGCCTCTACTGGAAGTCATATTGTACACATTTCATCAAGAGCGCCAACTGAAGTTCACGTACGGTAGTGTAGTTTACTTTCAGGAAAACACAGTACATCACCTCTATTACTAATTCTCAAGCCTTCTCAGTCATGATGATCGATTGCCACTACGGTAGAAGCCAGCAGCACTAACAATAACCTTCTTTAACTTTCCTCAACTCTTACGCGAGCACAAGTAGCGCCCCTGTGGTGGTCATTTGAGATTTGGCTCGAAATCCCTCGAATTGGGTAGGACTTGTTTGGTGGTAGAGAACACGTACCTCGACGATGCGGGGCTCGACGGTCAGCTCCCAAATGCGAGCGCGGAGCCTGACTGAGAGGTATGGAAATGGGAGAAACGTCTCCGCCGTGATAGCGGTAGATATTGTGCTGGGCCGCGCAGAATGTTTGCTGATAGAGGAGGATGACTTGGTTAAGAAAGGAACTGTGAGACAAATGGATGATTCCGCCATTGTGATATTTCCCGAAGTGCTGCGGATAATCCGTTTCTCCAGAGTCTAGACTCTAGAGCTTACCTACGTAGGATCTCTTGCGAGAGGCGACGTCGCACCACAAGGCCCCCTGCCTGCGGCTCAGCATCAGAGCAACCGAATCTTGCTTTCAATCTCAGGTTGTTAGGCATAATACGGAATGCATGCCAGCACAAGCCCAGTGGTCCTCGACTGCAAGGGCACGCGAAGTTTAAGGCACCAGTCTTGGCTTGGCTGTATCTGACATTGGCAAATTTGGTTGTTGCCGGCCATGGCGGAGCGAAGTCCGGTTGCACCAAAGCAGGTAGATACAGTTATAGTAGTGCATCCGATAAGAAAACTAGGAGGAGCTGAGGAGAGCTACAGATAAGAAGTACAAGCTTATAGCGATACGATACTTTATGGTTCGGCGTGGGCCAAGACGGTTTTACACAGAGGATCACTTTTCAGAATTACGGCCGTTCCTGACTAGGAGCATTAGTGCTTACCTATGTAGCAGGAGTAGTTATAATACTTGTAATCAAAATGACTAGAAGCAAGTACCTGGCTAGATAGATATCTAACTAAAACCTAGGCACCCAAAATACCCTTGGGCGTATCATATAATTCCTGCGAAATTTAAATAAAGGCGTTACGATAAGTCAGGCTATCTCCATTTATGCACACATTTCTTCTCGTAACTACTTGGAAAATTGTAAATTGTTGACCAAGGCGCACAACGTGTGAACATTCAGAATCACCGCATATTGGCTCACTCAACGAACAATATGGGCCCATGATGCACCTTCTGTCTAGCAAGGCCGATGTTGTCCATTGAACACATTGAAATAACGTTCACGTACGAGTCTACTTGTATCATCAAAATTGACAATCCTTCGTCCGTGCTAGGGAATTTCCTAGCACCGTCCGCGGTGTATAAATTTTGTTAATAGCTAGATAGACGACCTATGATCAATGCCCTGCGCAACAATTCTAATCAATTGTTCAGTTCCGTGTTTTAGTATCCGTCAGCAATCCCACTGGCTTCCTCACGTGCCCTGCGTTCTTTGTCCGCCGCCCACCACCACTGATGAGACTCGTCGTGATCCGATGTATCGCCTTCATGATCAGCCCAAGGCTTAGGGCTAAGGATATAGTGAATATTCTTAACTTCATCGTCCCTCCAAATAGAATCGTGCACTCCGTCCCATCTCAGTGTCTTCAGCGCGTTATAAACGTACGGTAACCCGACCCATCGTCCACGAAACAGATTGGCGAGGAGGTCCTGGTCAGGGAACACCCACTCCGCAGGTGCGTTCTTGACACAGTCCAATATCGCATTGTACTGGCCTTCAGAAGGGACCACGACGAGAAGACCGCTATTCAGGAGACCAAGTGGCTGCTGAGTGAGATCCTTGCCGTTGGTCTGGGCTGCATCAGGATCGGCATGATGAGATGTGAACGGACAGTTGGCCGGTACCCAGCTCGCTGGGTAGTGAGGCTTCTTAAGAGGGTTGCAGGTGCAAGCGTGACCGGCGGCGAAGACCTTTGTGCCGGTATTGATAGTGGTGCCGGCGGGATTCAGGGGCAGCAGCATCAGCTCGTCCATGTTCTTACGCACAAGCATGTCGCAGTCTAAGAGAACGACTCGGCTATACGCGGTGAGAGAAAAGACGGTCAGTTTGTTCCATGTGTCTTCAAAGCGTGGCTCGCTTGAGTAGTCTCTTGTGTTCGAGGGGCTTAGTCGGGGAACCCGTTGAAGGGGTATCCCTCTGGCAGCAATGGCGGCGCGGCCCTCCTCGGGAAAGCAGTCTGTGTGAAGAGCGATGAAGGGGTAGTTTGTACCAGAGGCTAGGAGGGAATGATGTAAGGTCAGAAGCCCGGAGAGGTAATTCATATTTGTGATGAGACTGGCCCAGACTTAAGAAAGGTCAACATTGGTGAGGCTTAATGCTTGAGAAGACAACATTACCTTTCTCTGATTGTACCGTCCGTTTGGCTTGTGACATTGTATAGTCTGTTTTCCTGCGGGAAAAGTGCTTGAGAGATTCCTGGCGACAGTGGTGAACAGTATGCCAGGGCATCGTCTGCAGTATATGTACTCAGCGCGTTCGTCCCTTGGTTCATAAGCCACTTCCTAGGTGGAAAAAATGTTGTACTCGGCCCGTGCCGATGACAAGTTGGCCACATGTGTTGTGGAACGGAAACGCAGGGTCACTCCTAGTGTCAGAAGCATCAGCACACTGATCTTGTTATGAGTTCCGCATGCTGAGACACACATGTAGTTTGAGATCCGACTTCCTCTTTCGACAACACTCGCATAGCCAAGCCCGCGCCTTTCCGCGAATCCAAATCATACGTCACTCGGGCGTCAATTGATTCGATGATGTGAAATGCGGAAGCACTTACATGGGCCTATTGACGGAGCATATCTTTCTCTTCCTCCGGAAGGGGTCATAAATCTCGAAGAAGCCTGTCTCGGCCTCCACAACAATTCTTGGCTCGATCAACAACGTATTGTCATCATAATCTGCTCCCTGGTTTATTCTGGCTGAACAGCCAATAATGGGCCATTCCATGCAAATTTGAAGCCGCTGATAATCGAGGAGGAGCTCAAGCTGACTGAAAATATGCCAGGAGCTGCTATTAGCGAGGCCAACACCGGCAATTGGACACAAAAGTCGGGTCAGCTGTGTCACGTCCACCAGCAAAAGTGATTAGTGCCCGCCTTTAAAAGGGTCGTTGAGCAATCTTGTAGCACTAGATCGGACTCGAGTCGTTATATGCCCGATGCTTTCTCTTTTCTCTTCAGTAAAGGGGCGATGAGCATGGACTTTTCTCCAAAATCTGCAATCGGGACGGGGCGCTTTAGCAAAATCTCTGGTCTTCCTCCGGAGTTGATATCTACCGCGCCCGCGTTCCCGGCGTTCCCTCTTCTGCCTATGTTGCAGCCATACTACGGTGGGCTTGCCATCGTATTTTGTTGAACGCTCGTACGCTTGCTGTCATACTTTGTTGAATGCTCGTACAAGCTCAAGGTTAGCGTCCGCGTGCAGTCCAACCGAAGTGATATTGGGTCACTTGGTGAGTATGTTGCGAATGTGGTCAATGTAACAATCCATTGATGTCGGATTCTTCGACAGACGGGTTGTTTTTGGTGGTCTGCATCATGATCGACTTAACCCCTGTGTCACTCAGTCATTCAGGTGCAGCCGGATTTTCCGCCCCCTAAGATCGCGCGATCAGGGTGAGCAACATGGGCATAGCGTCGTTACAGGCCGCAAATCTTGAAACATGGATTTTGTGTACCAGTAAATGGAATTGGACGAGCGACATCTGGGCTTTAGAGGCCTTGCCAGGTGCATGTCACTACACAACGCCGGCCCGCATCTTCTTGCCTACAGATTGAAAAGCCGTTTCGGAGGAGCAGTCATTGTTAGGGAGACTCCGCACAAGTGCACATGAACTCAGCATCATGCGAGAATCATAAGCTCACAGTTAAGATCATATGGCTTGTGAGGCTTAAAGTAGGGAGTTCGAGCCTAATTACTGATCTGGATTTTCGACGGCGAGTTCTTGACGGCTGATCAAGAGCTTCGAGTGTACTTACGAATCTGCAGAAAGGCATATGTTTGATCTCCTTTCCCTGTTTGCGGGGTGGTGAAAGTATGAGGCCCAAATGGGAGATCTAAGCGCACACTCCTTCCAGTACATCCATACACCCCACCACAGCAAAAACCAAGCTCTAAGTCATGATTTAGGACCACACGTTGCGATTGATCAGCTCATTGCCTGTTTGGCGCCATACCGGACCAGCCCGCTACTTACAAAGTTATCGGCCGCGTCACATTCCACGCGGTGTGTCCTCGCTCGTCTGTGATAGTATCGATGGTGTGCGGAGTGAGGGGGGGGATCTAGTTAGTTCTATGATGCCGTCGGCTTAGAGACGTACTGCAAAGAATTGAGTTAACGAGAATCATTGGTGAATGGGGGGATGGAGAAGGGTGATTTGCCTATCTTGGCTTCTATGGACTTCTCAACCACCTCAACCCTCAAGGCTTCGACCTTGTGAGGGGGAGACCAGTCTCACCACCACAGCTGTCTGAAAGCTTGCGAGGGAACTAGTTTTGTTTCTGAACATCCTATTTCAGCAAGTTTTTCTCGTTAAAAAATCCCGCATGTTTGCCTCACTTTTCTTGCTTAACTCTGTTTAAGGAACAACACAAAAGCTCTAGCTTAACTCAATATCCGCGCTAATATGAATCTTAACCGGATGATTAACAGTTCTTTGAGTCGATACTTTCCACGTTCGAATGAGGGCGAGTCATGACACAAATGGAACCTATCTTTTCCTAAGCAGAAAGGAAGTTCTGCGTAACAAATTTAAAGCAGCGTTAAGCCCACTTGAAGATATCTTCTTGATCATATTTCTCTGCAAGTCATCTTAGCAATCTCCTGCCTCAAATTTTTATCTCATAACCAGGTGAAAGCCAGTTCCATAACATGCACTTCTTTATCATCGTCCTCTTGCAGACCCTTGCAGCCTCTGTAGCCGCACGTCCCATTGTCGACTCCCCCGATCTCTCCTACGCCTCGGCGCCATCATTCAGAAATGGCATGCACACCAACACCATTGAAATCAAAGTAGGAGAAGAAGGTAAAGTTGAAGAAGTCTCAAGACCTTTCATACTGATGCTAATGTCCCACTCACAGATCCGTCTGACCTTCAACCTAGGGATGAGGCCACGGTTGATGTCCTTGGTTCAAACAATAAAGATGCCGGGATGTCCAAACAGCACTATGACGAGGAGATCACTCACGTCTCTCCCAACAATGACCTCTCAATCATCCCAAGGGCAAACAAGAAGCCCACGAAAGCTGAATTGAAGGCCGACGACAAGAAGTTTCACCGGGATCAACTACGACCAGACGACGCAAAATACATTAATAACCTCGACAGAGCCAATAACAAAAAATGTGGTACAAATTGCCAGCACTCCTTAGACTCCCACCGCTCCCAACAGAGCAAGGAGTTGAAAGAGAAGCAGCGAAATACGCCAGATCTCCCAGGCTCAAGGGCATCAAGAGGCGAAGTCAATAGTAAAGAGAATGACTATCAACACGATTTGAATCACCTGCGTATGGACAGAGGTGATATAGGTGAAAACGGTAAGAATTCGCTCAACTCGTGGCATTCAGTCGAGTCCGCCAACTCGAAGGCATCGAAGGCATCGAAGGCATCAAAAGGAGGGAAAGGAGGCAATTATCATGGCTGAGTAGCTTAGAAATAATTTGAACCAACAACATGTACACGAATTGTAACAGGCTGGAAGTTCGAACTGTGTTTCATTCAATTCTCACAGAAATACACGATCAAGAGATCCGTTGAGATAGTTTTTGTAGCAAATGAAGTATTGCCGCAATCATCTGGAATCAGACTGCTTTCAGGCGGGCCAGATACTAGTGACGCGCCGAACTACAATTGCAGCGCTTCCAGATCTATAGGCACGGCAGAATTTCCGAAGGTGGCAGCTACATTTATCTACAACTCTGTTCCACAGCACATAATTTTCACTCACAAAAGAGACGTTTTCAGCTACCTGGGCTTTGTTCGTGGTAGCCTGATTCTGCCATGGCTCAGTTGACGCCATTGGTGAATGGGCATCACGCCTAAGCAGGTTGTCAAGGGCCTGGGCTCTTAATGTGTTTCCTGGGGCAAGATAGGGCAAAATCAGACTGCTGCTGACCCCGCATACCCTGAAAACATACAGGTCTCATCTAACCACTTTCAATCAGCAACTCAAAGGTGAGCAGCCGAGTGAGGCAATTGCGTCTGAACCCTAAGAGTGCTTCGCCATTACCTCTAGCGTCTTACTGCGCGGGTGCGGCAACCACCAAAGGTGTACGAAGAAATAACCACGCGATCGCCATTCTGGAGCTTGAGTACAGTGTGTATCCGATCTGCTCGTCCACTTTTCATCAGCAAAGCTTATGGTGGTTCTACTTGATCTACAATTAGTTTACATCCTAGCTCAAGTTTCAAATACCTTAGGTAAAGGGGACAGCGGCTCTTAAATCCCATCTCAGGAGGATGGAAAAGTCAACCCCTGTCAATTCCTTTGAAAGAGCGCGCACGCGCCGCTCCGAGGCCCCATCTGATGTTACCAAAGTGCCTTTCGGACCACATTTCATCATCACTCGCGCGCCCTTCATGTCAACCCGCCGGCTGTAGAATCCGTTAGAACAGCCAAGAAGAAGAGACATCGCAACTACTCACCAGTCTCATAGAGCTATCACAGGCGCTCATCCAAGCGTTGAAATCGCCTCATAAAGTCTTATCTCCAGATCGCCTTCGGAACAGAAAGGGCTCATACACAGACACAGACCCAGGCACAACGATGGCATCGACAGCAGCAGCCAGGACATACCTGGCCTTCCAGCACAACGCAAAACTCACGACCCTCAAGACCATCGTCACCGCCATCCGCCCCTTTGCAGACCTCGAGGAAGCCAACCGCGGACTCTTCAAAGATGGAAACGACGAAGACCATGTAGTTGTGACAGAACAAACAATCTTCCATCCCCAAGGCGGTGGCCAGCCCTCCGACATCGGCTCCATGACCGCCG